GGTCCAAACCCAGACAGTCCGTCAAAACCCGAAGTGCTCAGTGCGTCCTTTTGTGGGTTTTCTCAATTTCCTCGCCTTCTCCGCCCGACCGAATCTTCCATTTGGCTAAAACTCCTGGAAAAAAACAAATCCAGTAGCAATGGATTCCCTCTAAAACCATCAGGAGAAAGCAAACATATTTTCAAGCAAATGGAAGCAGATTCGGTACGTCAGGGTACTAACCATGGTCAGGGGAAAAAGCAACTTCAGGATGGACTCCATTTAAAACCAACAGGGGAAAAACAACCTGGACCCCCAATTGACCCCTTTTTTTCTGCCTTTGTACCCCTTCTTTTTGTGTCAAAGGCAAAAACAAAGGGGTCCTTTCAGGGTCCAGGAAAAACAAAAAAGACATTAAGCAAATGGAAGGGTCAGGGGAAAAAGCAACTTAAGGATAGGCTCCATTTAAAACCAAACAGGGGAAAAAAAAGCAAAAAAGACTCAAGCACCTGGACCCCCAAAGGGCCCCTTTTCCTTTTTTCTGCCTTTGACCGCAAAGAAAAACGGGGGTACAGGGGCAGAAACAAAAACGGAATCGGTCCTTTGGGGGTCCAGGTTGTTTTTCCCTTGTTGGTTTTAAATGGAGTCCATCCTGAGGTTGCCTTTTCCCCTGGTTAGTACCCTGACCTACCGAATCTGCTTCCATTTGCTTGACAATATGTTTGCTTTCTCCTGATGGTTTTAGAGGGAATCCATTGCTACTGGATTTGTTTTTGTTCCAGGAGTTTGACCCCAAAGAAAAAGGGGGCACAGAGGCGGAAAAAAGGTCCAGGCACCTGGAAGGACTCGCTCCGCTTCGATTCGATTCGATTCAATTCCCAGGCGCGCTCCAGGTGGCCGGCCTCGTCGAAGCCGTCCAGGATCACCAGCAGGCGCCCGTGCAGCCGCGCCAGCGCCAGCAGCTCCCAGTGGCCCGTGTCCTCCCCGGCGCCCGACCCACATGCCTCAAAGGCATGACCCGAAAATGGATTTCGGGTTACCTGGTTTCCTGCAACCCCTGGCTTTTTTCATGACCCGAGGCAAAAATGGGTCAATGACACCATTATTTTGGGTCATGACCCATGTTTAAGGGTCATGCAGACTCCAAACATGCCTTTTGTTGGACACTCCCCATGCCTTTTGTTACCTGGATGCCTTTTGCTGCCTGGATCCCCAGTTGCCTTTAATTTTCCAGCCACTTTCGCCAAATTGGGCGGCTAAAGTGGCTGGACAAAAGCAGCTACTTGGGGATCCAGGTAGACCCAAGTGGATGGGGACCCACATTGGGGTGGCTTGTCTTTTTCGAAGTTGGAACCCCTTTTTAAGGCTTGTTTTAAGGTAACAAAAAGAACACCGATGATTTTGTTTGGGTCCAATTCCTTTAAAAAAAGGAAGCCAACAGGATACTCTAAACAAACAAATGAGCTTGCGTGGGACTTGGTTGTTTCACGCTCTGGGTTGTTTGGCTTGCAGTGCTGCCAACTTGAAGGCCAACGCCAGTCAGGGACCCAAACTACTTTGCCCGAGATGGCAGCAGGAATAGCGGAACAGCAGTGCAGCAGTCAGTCAAGAGCAGAAGAGCAGCAGTGGCAGTATGAAGCGGACAGCGTCGGCGATGAGGGCGACAAAGCGGCCGGCCGCGAAGCCCAAGAAGAAACTTGCTTCGAGGACTCAAACTGCTGGGCTCAAACTGCAAAAGCCGAATCCTTCTCGGGAATGTCCTTGTCTCCTTCTCGGCCTTTTGTTGATCAAGCAAATGTTCTACGCTTCGGATGGGGAGCCAGAAGCAAGATATGTTTCAAATCTTGCAAAAAGCCAGAGCCATACCTCGCCTCATGTGAGCATTGGTGAGCTGCCGCTGTATATAACCGGAAAGATTACTTCCAGCAATTCACAGGGCAGAAGGCCCAAGTAACCCAAAAACGTGAAGAATGGGGCAAGATCAACTCAGAGGACAAAGTTTCTTAACTGCACGCAGTCTGACTGTCAGTTGTCGGCGGTGTTTGTTTGCTGGATGGCATCAAGTACGGGTTCTTGCGGTTTGCCTTGCTTCGGGTATAGGTATAGCCCTTTTGGTGGAAGCAGGTGCCCCAAACCTTACTTTTTGTGAAAAACGATGCCCTAAAACTAAGGAGCCCGTGGCGCGGGCAATGTTCAACTGCGACCAGCAGCATCACCCTGCAAGCCAACCCCAGTACCTGATGGCGCCTGAAGATGGCGCCGATTCAGACTTATTTCTTGCCTCTGATATTTAACCTGAACGTTCCAGCCTATCAGAATCTGAGGCACCCGCGTGTGCCAGACACGGCGGCCGTCAAACCCCACCTCTCGACAATCCTGTTTGCGTATCGGCGCTACAGGCCCTGCTTCGGGTGGGGAGCAGTACTCTCCAAAAAACTCGCTCTGGGGAGCGTGATGCACGAACCACAGGCGGGAGAAGGCGCCGAAGCACCCAACCTTTGGTTTCAGACTGGAAAACAATGTGTTTGCCAAATGGGTTTGAGTTGTCGTGTTTCTCTGGGAGACCTACCTGTCCTGCCCTGAATTGATGCCTACAGACTTCAAGCTGCCCAATGGGCGACACGTGGTGTCCCAGCGCTGGACCCTTCTTGGTGGGAAGGACTGGCTACTTTTTGTGTTGCAAAACCCTGCGCTTTCTCGGCGCTAGGAGAAATTGCGCCCGCAGGCGGAGGATTTCCTCCGGTATTCTCTGGAAGCCTCGAACAACAGCCAGCAGAGCAAGTTGGCAGGAAACACGCGGCGCCCCTCAGTTGTGCAACGCGGAACTTTCCTTTAATTGATTGATTCGTTGTTCAGTTCTTGTATCTGTGCGGCAGCAGCTTTGACTGTTGTGGCATGCCAAAAGCCTACTGTCTGGTCATCCCGCGATGCGCACAGAAAACAACCATTTATTCAGAGCCCGTAGAAGGCTCACCTGACATGCGGGCACCATAGGCTGTTTAGCAAAAATAATCTGTTCAATTTGGCAAGTTGCGGTGAAGGAAAACGCCTGCGACCCTTCCATGTTCTGTCCGCTTGTTGCAACACCTGCTTACTTTCCCACGTTCTGACATTGAATCTTGAGATTTGGTTCAAGGGCCCAGGAGAAACACCATGACCCCCAAGAATGTTGCGAGAAGCGGAGGAATTGCCTCCCAAGCGAAAGCTATCACAGCGGGGGGATGCCAGCAGGGCCGTTTGCAACAACCTGGATGATGCTTGCCCTTTGACCAGGGCCATGGAATCTTGCGTGGAAAGCGCGCATTCATTGAGGCATGCTTCTGGAACGTCTTTGCCGGAATTGCCTTTGAACGCTGAGGGAACTCTGTACCTTTAGGGCCATGCCTTACAGGGGACATTGAAAGACATAGCTCACCGTGCTTGGCTTGCTGATTCCACAGATTGACTTTTGGAAGGGTGCTGGGACATGGTAGCACCAGGTCTCTTAGATGACGGTTCCTCAGCAGCTACGCTAAATGGTTCTGCGCTGCCTGGTTTCAGGAAGGGTGGAAATATTTCAAAAATACAAAAATACCAGTTTGCTAAAGATGAATAATCGTTCAAGTTGAGCAAGATCGAAACCATAAAGAATTTGCCGGGACCCCAAAAACTCAGCGAAACTCAATTCACTTGGCTTCAGAGTTTCGCCGAGGACCTCTGCGAGGTCCTCAGCCAAACCCTCCCCCAAAAATAGTAAAAGGAGAATTCAAAGAATTATTCTTTCTACTATTTTTTCTCCAACAGCAACACAACAAACAGAAAACAAAATCCAGAACAACAAGCAAACAAAATAAATAATCACAACCAGCAACAAAAATATTTAATCACAGCATGCAACATTAAATAATTCAAACAAGCATACCAACAAAACAGCAACACTCTAAATCATCAAAGAACCCAAACTCAAAAACACACATCAACAAAAAACAAAGCAACATACCAACAAAAAATATCACAAGAGTATCAAACAAAACAAAAACAAACAGCCAAAGCACGAAAAAATTGAAGAAGCATGCCAAGTCTAAACAACGCACTTTGAAAGAGATAAGCAAATTATAATAATTCAATCTTTACAAACGATAAATATATTACAATTATAACATATAATATTTTACATGTGATAATCATAGTATGGTTTTAATCAAAGTCATTAGTATTTAAATATTCCTTTGTAATCTTTGGTATTTGTTTAAAGTTCTGTTTATTATTTTTAAATGGATATTTTCTATCAGCAAAATCATAAATGCAAAAACCTATGCTCCAGTTTCCTAAAACACTTTTAATATCATTTATCACATCACCATACATTAATTTACCTATTATATTGTTCTTCTGTTCATCCTGAATATAATCACATATTTTATCAATTATGATTTTCAATTCTTGGTGTCTTTGTTTTATGTAGTTTAAAAATGTTTCCTTGCAATCATTTTCAATTTTATTATTTGATAAATCATACTCATCAATAAATTTAAATATCATTTTAGTATTAAATTCTTCAATTGGTCTTGTTGTTCCAGTTTTGCCACCATAACTAACTTCATATGATTGTTCGTAGTAATATTTAATATCATTATAAAATTTTAAAATATATGTTTCGTTATCTTGCAGTATATATTTTTTCACTTTTTCATATGTAGGAAATGTATTTAACTTTATAAAACAATATGTTCTTAGTGATGAGTCATCATTTAGAAATGTATTTTCTTCAAATTTCAATTTGTATTTATCATAAATACATTGTCTCAATGTTGAATGTAAATTACTTTTATGTAAAACTTGCTTTGCATTTCTTAATAAAAAACATTTCTCGCATTCAACATAATTAAAATCACAAATGTTTTTAACAATCGGAATAGGTAAATTTAACTTAGTTAGTCTAGTTTTTTCATTTATTAGTTTACATTTACAACTACTGATAATGTCATTAACTTTTATTTTATTCAAAAAGTCATTAATAATTTCTTCTTGCTCTTTTTTAGTAAATTCAACCATTTCTATTATAATATATTAAGTCAATATTTCTTTAAGTCGTTTTCAAAGAATCTATTTTATAATGGCCGTAAGCAAGTGAGTTTACACTATCTATCCAATATTTTTTGTTTTCATAACTACTAAGAGCAATTTTTTTAGTTGTTATACTAAAAATTCTGTGGTTTTTACTTCTAATACTATTAAATGACTTATGTATAACCTCATTAGTTTTTAAAACCGTCTCAAACTCTTCATATTTCATTTGACGTCTTACTGTGCCTTTTGCTATGCCCTTACATTTCTTATATTTTTTATCATCACCATAAACTGAGTAAGCATAGCATTTAGGACGAAGGGCTATAAACCCTGTTACTATTTTACTTTTTAATTCATCCTTAAATTTACCTAATACTTTCTTGTTATTATCATCATAACATTTATGTTCCTTAGGATAATCTGAAAAATCTAATTCTTTTTTAATTGTATTAAGGTCTTCATAAATGTCATTGGTTTTAGTATGAAATACAAAACTATCAGTATCAGTATATACCATTTTAATATTATCTCCATATTTAGGCTTCATAACGTCATAATAAAATTTATACATGTGTTGCTTACTCAAATCTAAAATACTCATCCCAATAAATATAGGTTTGTCTAGTTTCAACTTTGTTTTTTGCTTTTCAACTCCAACCAAATTTTCATTAATGATATGACTATGTTTGAAGTTAGGATTACTTACACACTTCATATATCTAGTTTCATCACTCACAACCTCAAAATCTAAATGTTTCCTTATCCTCCATTGTTTTTCCAAATATGGCATTGTTCATCAATTTGTAAACATCTTTCTCAAAATCATTTCTAGCATTCTTCCTCTTCTCAGTGTTAAACTCAATGTAAGGTTTTAAAACTTCTTTTTGTTCAAATTTAATTGCTCTATGAATTTTCTTAAGTTTTAACCCTT